TATTTTACCAGCAACTTGAATCTAGTACTTTCAGCTGGAGCCCAAGACAAAGCAGATTAGAACCCAGCAAGGAAAAAAGACTCTTCAGAGAGAACCACTTAATGATGCTGCCTCTCTTGGGAGCTAAATAACACATCCACCTATGAGATCTTTCCATTTTACCATGCAGATAATACATAGGAACCTGGCTCTAGCAAAACTCATCAATAAGAAAAAAAATTCTACCCCCATCACTATCACGTGAGATTTTGGAGGGTACTTCCTCCAAACAATTTCCAAAAATATGAAACTAAAAAAAAAAAAAACAATTGTCCTGAGTACGAGAGGGGGGAAGAAAGAAAGAAAAACAGGGGGAAAAAAAAAGAACTTCCAAAAATGACTTTCATTCTTTCTTTTCACAAACATTTTATAACCATCTACTCTGTGCCAGGCACCGAGCTAGGTACTAGGGATACAAAGTTGCTATCAAGCAGACCAGTCTCAGGGGTCTATTAACTGTGGCAGAACTACTAGTTACCCCTCCACTACAACCATGTATCTCAAGGTATAAAGCCACCCAATATAAAAGCCTATATTTCCCAGGCTTCCCTGTAGCTAGACATGGCCACGTAACTTAAGCTTGAGTCAGTGCAATACAGGGAAAAGTTATGTATACAACTTCTAAAATGTTTTTAGAGGAAGCAGCTTATTCTTTCTTCCTCCTTTCCTCTATTCTGCTGTTTGGCACATGGGTGAGGTGATGAGACATCCTGGACTACGAGGATGGAGGCAACATTCTTGTTGGCAGAGCCATAGAAAGGAGTAGACCAAGTCCCTGGATGACACATGGCACAGAGTTGCTACAGTACTGGCCAACTTCCCAAAGGTTATTGTACAGAAGAGGAAACAAGTCTGTCTCTTCTTCAAATCACCATCATTTTAGGTCTTACTTGCATGCATCTGAACTTACATTCTTTTATATATTTTTTTCTTTTTTTTTTTAGTGAATTTGTATTCTAATACTGTGACAGAAACAGGTAACACAGCAGTAGGTAAAAAGAAAGGTGAAAAGCCTTTTTAAAAAGTGTATTATGTAATAGTCTCGCAAAGGTAGGAACAGAGACTACTATAAGAATTTATAAGAATTACAGAAAAATAAGCAAAGATAAGTGACCGAGCCCCTCTCACACAAAGTTAATAAAATCACAGTCCCCTCATGACCAGCTTTTAAATTCTTTACTTTCAAGAGTTCCTTTCCCTAAGAACTTTCCCTTTTTTTCCCCCTTTCC